CGACACATAATTGGGTTGGGTTGGGTTTCAACATTTACATGGGTTGGGTTGGGTTGGGTTGGATTTTGAACAAACCGACATTGTTGGGTTGGGTTTGGGTTGGGGCAAAAACTGACCCAACCCAACCCACGCCCACCCCTAGTTGTTGGATTGGTTCTTTGATGAAGTATGGATCAAGTGGTACAATCCCTCATTTTCAAATGCAATCCCAATCATCTTCTTCATTGGTTGATCATGCATATACAGTAAGAGGTGGTGAAGGTAAGGCAAAGATTGGACTGATTGGTGAGTTTGGACACAGGTAACAAATTGAATGAAAAGGTGAGAACACATAAAACATTATGCAAGAACAAAGAATTAAAAAGGCATACAGTACCAATATGGGATCCTAGAACTTTAATTCTATTAGGGAGATGTATGAAGACACTTACGGGCTTAGGGGTGGAGTGATATAAGGATGGGGAACAAATCATATGATCAGTTGCACCCGTATCAAGAATCCAAGAAAACTCAGATTGTAATGTAGATGAAGCAAAGTTACAACTAACAATTTGTGAAGTGGATCATGTTTTACCAGAGAAATGATATGTGGATGCAAGGTTCACAACTGGTTGAGTGTTGTTCTGGGTAGAGGAATTAGTTGGTACTGAATTAGCAAGTGTCATTAGCTTGTGAAATTCCTCTGGAGTAAAGGAAAGTTTTTGTTGCTCATCATTGCACTTTGATTAGAAGCTTCCCGATGTGTAAGTGCACATGCGCAGAGGTTTTTCCAGGAGGATTTTTTTTTCCTTAGTCCTGTCCAATTAGGAGGATATCCATGAAGTTGAAAGCACTTGTCCACCCTATGCCCAGTATAACCACAGTGAGTACAATATAAGGGAGGTGCTTTGAATCTGTCCCTGAATGACCTTGATTAGTGAATCTGTTGATTGTTATGTTTGGCCATTAAGGCATGTGTTTCAATATATGAAGCAGAGTTAGTCAGCTGTCTCTGACTTTCTTCTTGAAGCAGCAATGAGAATACCTCGGCCATGATAAGCAGTGGAACCATAAATAGGGATGTCAATTCGAACTGTGAAAACCGAAACCGCAGTTAACCGAACCGAATGGGGCGAAAAAATTCGAACCGATGGTGCAATGGGGCGG